AAATTTCCTTTGGGAGAAATGCAATTATTTTTATATATGTATGTATTTTTGCATGTATTTTTAGATGTATGTATGAAAAAGGAATACAAAAATAAATAAAATAAAATATAATAAAATAAAATAAAGTGTCTTACAAGTAGAGGGGTTCACAGAGGCTCGGACAGACTGCATGGATTCATCTCATAATCCTAGCTATCCCTAAAATACATACATGCTCCCAGATCTCCACTGCTGGGAGCATTTCTGGGGTGTGATCCACGTGATTTGCTTTAGCGACTGGTCTTGCAACAAAGTGAATTACATATAGAGGTGCCTGTTTCTTGGGGGGTGTGAGGAAATACCGACTGGGTGGAAAATTTACTTGAGCAAGAACGTTGTTTACCCCAACTTTAAAGTTGTTGACTTGTATTTTTTACCTGAAGTTATTTGTTTCTTAATGCTATGACAGGGAGACCTTCAGGGTATCAGTATCCATCCCCTTTCCATAACTTCTTGGTGTCTTATACGGAAAGTCTATTTCTTAGTAGGCTTTAAAGGGCTGGGAAATACAGCATCAATGGCTCAATAAATGGGGAAACAGTTGTTATTGACCCAACGTGTGATTAAGTTCTTTACATTTGCACACCATCCGAGAAGCAGCTTTAGGAACAGCAAAGGCGAGGCTCAAATTGCCCAGAGGTTTCCAGGAAAATTAGCACCCACGCTCACTGTGACATCAAACACCTTGAACTCAACCTGCAACTTCACTTGCAGGCACCAAGTTTTTGGTGAAAAAGCCTTATTAGGGTGCCAAGCCACAGGTAATAGCTTGAGAAACTACACTGAAGAACTGTGTGATTGAGTTATTAACTGATTATACGATGTCCTGTAGTCCTTCAGGTCTATCCCATTCCCGCCCAGCCCTGTAGGCACTGGGTTTCAGAGAGAATCTCCATAGAAAAAGGGTTTCTGACTACTCTTCTGGGTTCTCCTCTGAACCTTAGCAATCTGGAAACCCATGTCCGATGCAATCCAGGCTTTCTTTGTAGTCATTGAACAGAGAAATGAGATTAACAGGATGAACCAAGCTGTGTGGAGGGGCTTCTCCCTGCTCATTGACCATCGATGGTGCGTGAGGTTGAGCTTCATCTCACCCAACTTCAGCTATGCAGAACTTACATGTCTAATCTGTGTCAGTCATCTGACTTCTCCCTGTAATTAAGGGAGATAAATTATAAAGAAATTACCCTCCACACACCTTCGTACAGACCTCAGTGCAATTTTGAGTCCCACTCAATAACAGCAATAAGGAAATATTCTCCTGGTCACCAGCTTCTTCCACTCACTGCCGTCTCCCAATCGCTCTTCTCAAGGCAGCCTTCACCTCACTGTTCCTCAGGCTGTAGACCAAGGGGTTCAGCGTGGGGGTCATGATGGTGTAAAATAGCGTGGCCACCTTGTTCTCATCCAATGCATAGGCGGAGCTGGGGCGCAGGTACACGAACAAGATCGCCCCGTAAAACATGGTGACAACCGTCAGGTGGGAGCCGCAGGTGGAGAAGGCTTTTCTCCTGCCCTCCGGAGAGCGGATCCTCAGGACAGCCGGGAGGGTATAAGTGTAGGAGACAAAGATGATGGTCATGGTGCTGAGACAGTTTATGCTGACAAGAGCAAGGACAACCACCTCGTAGGTGTGGGTGTCAGAGCAGGAGAGAGCTAAGAGTGGGGCAACGTCGCAGAAGTAGTGGTTGATAACATTGGAGCGGCAGAAGGAGAAAGTAAAGATGAAAGTGGTGTGTGTCACCGCGTGCAAGACGCCGGCAGCGTAGGAACCAGTGACAAGCCACCAGCACGTCCATCCGCCCATGATGGCAGGGTACAGGAGGGGCTTGCAGATGGCCACATACCTGTCGTAGGCCATCACAGCGAGCAAGAGGCACTCGGTGACCCCAAAAACAACGAAGCAGCAGAGCTGGGCTGCGCAGCCCAAGAAGCCGATGGTTTTCTCCTCCAGCAAGATCTGCACCAGCATTTTGGGGAGGATGACGGAGGAATAGCAGACATCGACAAAAGCCAAGTGGCTGAGGAAATAGTACATGGGGGTGTGAAGGTGAAGATCGGTCCTGATTAATATAATTATCCCAAGGTTCCCCAAGAGGGTCACCATATACATGGCCAGGAAAGCCAAGAAAAGGGGGAGCTGGAGATCCGGGTGGGTGGCCAGCCCCAAGAGAATGAACTCATGCACATCAGTGCGATTGACAGGTGTCATTGTCTGTAACGCATTCAACCTGTGGGAGATAGGTAAAGTGATAGACAATGATTTGGGCAGCTCAGCAGGACCCTCAGCTTCCTCTGTGTCTCCAAAGGGAGGAAGAGCACTTCCTACCAGAGGGTCATGAAATGTCAGCTGGACTCTGGATCACTCTCGCAAGAGGCTTTGAAATTGCAAATCCAGAGGCTTTGAAAGGATCCTAAAACCAAAACCTCCTTGTCAAGCTGAACAGTGAGAATGCCCACTTGGGTTTAGCTCAGCATTTCATCTCCTACGCACCTTCGTATCTGTGCCTTCCCAGGGAAATTTAACACAGAGGAAAGGTCAATCCACTGGGCATTTCTTAGTAACAACCTTTTTTTTTTTTTTTTTAAATTAAGATATTTAATGCATTTTGGTTTTCCCTAGTAAATTATAGAATCATAGAATCGTTTAGGTTGGAAAAGACCTTTAAGATCATCCAGTCCAACCATTAACCTACACTACCAAGTCTACTCTAAGCCAATCAAGGGTAGACTAGACTAAACCATGTCTCGAAGTGCCACATCTACCCGTTTTTTGAACACAAATGACAGTTACACTTCTTCAGTTACAATGCTTTTCAGAATTGGGTTTTTAAAAATAAAACAACATGGAACAATTCAACTTGCAGAAACTGCAGAATTATTTTTCGTGTTGATTTTGCAAAACAAAACAGAGCAAAAGTATGCCTTTTTCTTTCAAAACTGATATGAACACACGGTTTGTGGTATACACAGTCTTGACAACCCCATAGGAAAAGAAATCCGTGGTAGCACAGTAGTGACGGGGAAACTAGCTTGGATGTAGAGCCGAGGCCGTACAAGCAAACACAGGAGGAGCTGAGCAGGGCAGGGAGCAGAGATAACACAGCCTGCGCCGTAGGTATTGAGCACCTTCTTGCCTTGGCCACCAGGGCCATCCCTTCCCATTACTGTGGCACCTATGGAAAGACTGAACACCTACATGTCTCCTTGGTTTATGTCATCTAAACTTTAAAGCAGAAGAATCCTCCTCCCATGTAGGATTCCTTCTGCTGTTCTCATTCTTGTTGCTATAAACAAGATATCTTATGCCTCAAGCCCTTTCTTTCCTCTATATCACCAACCTTCAAGTCCATCAGACACAAGGAAAGGGGTGCTTACTTTAGCCCCATGATGTCCCTTCATGTCCCACCACTTCAGAGCAGGTTCAGGGCTGAGGACTGGCCAGAAATGAAGATGCCCTCACCTTGGACATGACTTTTCCAGCAAAACTCAGATCTTCAGTGCAGGTCCATGCAGCTCCTTCAGCAACTGGGATGAGTTTGGCTGCTCCTGCAGACAATATGACTGAGGCCATAGTTCATCTTCAAACAAATGCTGAGAGTGCTTTTTAGAACTCTTTCCTTAAAAGCTGTGCTGAGGATGACTTGTTGCTGCGCCTTCCAGAGGACAGACAAGCCCCCTCTGTACTTTTTAGTGTTCAAGTGGTATTTATACTCATTTCTGTGACCTTGGAGGCATTTCAGTCCATGGAGAACAGACGCTTGACAACAAGCAAAATCCACAGAGAATATAAGTTCCTTCATCTCCAGGCTCACTAATGAAGCCCAGGAACAACTTGCTTTGAATATCTGGATTTAAGAAAATGTCTTCCCCACTCTCCCATGACAAGGAGAGGGAGTGGATGAAAGGTGAACGGCTACATGATTCACCAAAAGCAAATCCCAACTTTTTTCTGCAGTCAGCCCTGGTTATTACCTAACTTTCTCAAGTGTCTTTCCTAGTGCCACTTAAGCTGGATTTTGGCAATGCAAAAATATTTCTTGCAACCATTTCTGCTGTCATGATCTCCCCTTGTTAGCACCCTCTTTCTCCAAAACCCGCCCCAAATGCTGAGCTTTGCCTTTGCCGGCTTCGATAAGACAGTAATTGTCCCCTCCCCCAAAGTTTTTTGGGGTTTTTGGGTTTTTTTTTTTTTTTTTACTTTTGCTATGAGCATTGATGAGAAGAGCAAAGCAATAGCAATCACCTAAACCCAAATCAATACCAGAACTGCAGTCTTAACTAAACAAAATGCTTTTCACTGAGATCTGTCTGCTGGGTTCAAGTGCCATGACATGTATTATCTACAGTTCTGTGGTCTTGATGTATGGATTCATGAAACACTTATCTGCTTTCTCCTAGAGATTTAGTTTACAGAGCTGGTGGTCTCTCTGTGTTAGTTTGTTTGAGTAGGTTTCTACTTCCAGAACCTCCAGCAGTTGGATTTCAGAGACCACTTACTCCTGCCGTTGTTAGTGAGAATGATATTGTCTGTTCGCATATGTTTTTGCTTTGTCAGTGAGAATGCAGAGGTGTTATAAACCCCCTCAGAAGAACTCTGCACATACTCAGACTGCCTGGTGATAATGTCTCACCGCCACCATCACTTCACAACTGCTGCCGATGGCCCCATGGCTAAGAAGGATGCCTTCATCTAGTAAAATATATGAATATATAAAGGAAAGCAACAATTATTTTCAAAATGTTATGGTAACTTTTCTCCCAAGTAGGTCCTCTGTTAACTTCCATGATGGACTTTTCCCTTCAATATTATTTTTTCCTAATGAGATTTGGGGCCAAAAAGCTTGGCAGGCTGTGTACAGCCACTCCAGCCATTGCATCCCTCTGGATGCATCCCTGGATACTCAGGACCAGCTGAACACGACCAGCTGGTAATTTCCCCTTCTGAAGCCACTCTGCCTTTATCTGGCAGTGAACTCACCAAAAAACGGCCTGATCCCATATTCACAGCTTACCTCAATGCCAGCGGGTGCCCAGCTTTTCAGCAGAATTTGTGTCTAGGGGAACAAGAGCAGCATTTTCTGCCAGGTGCCTAAGGTAGTTTCAAAAGTAGGAAAAGTATCATCAGCTCGAAATATTATGAAGTCTGCCAGATTGTGTCTGTGTTATTGTTTTTACTCACTATCCTTATTCTGTTCATTAAATCTTAGTCACTCAGGAAATATATAAAAACACAATCTGTGCTCAAGTGTGCAACAATGCCAAAAATCTTGCGATGAATTTTAATTTTAAGGAATGCAGAAAGAAAAAACTACCAAAATAAAAAAGATATTGAGAGTCTGTGTGGCTTCTTTCCCTAAGACACCTGGCAGTTTTTGGTCTAGCTCTAGCTCTAGCTCCCCCAAATTTGTCCTGAGAATGAGAGAAGACACCCAAACCCATAAGTGGTCTCTATGCTTGGCTGGGGCAGATCTTTCACCTCTGGAAACCAGCTGGTCTGCATGGGTTAACAGCAGTGCGCAGCTCCCTCCAAATATGCTCATAAGCTGTGCTTGAAGTTTAATTTCATTCCACCAAAATCTATACAATTTCAACACTGACTTGATGAGCGCTGAATTGCTCAAAGGGAAAAAAAAAAAATGGTGAGGCGTGAAATGAATCGTTCAGTGGCGTTAGCACGTGGTGCACAGTCTGGCGCTCGTCACCACGGCCGGTTCCCTGGATTGGTGTGGGATTTCTCATTGTGCATCCCAGCCTGCAGGACTCCAGAAAGAAATACCAAAATAAAATTGGAAACAACATTTTTTGAGAAATTGAAAGCTAATTATGGGGTTGTAGTGTTTTGTTTTTTTTTTTTTTCTTTTCCAGATCATTTATAGTTATTCAGTGCTTTTATTTAGCATACCAGCTGTTGAGTCTGAGCATGATTTAGCTGAATGTTGTCATCTACAGGTGTAGACTTCTTCATCTGACCATTCTCCGCCCTGTTGCCAGCTACTTTAGGAAGCAATTCATCTTGCTGCAAAATAAACATCCTAAATAGCTTATCTGAATATTACCTAAAAGTTCCCACTTCTCCCAATTGGCTGCAGAGTTCAAGTTATTCCCTGGACCAGGAAAAAGTGGTGTTTATTGTCTATACCCTGGTGATCCCCATGCTGAGCCCCCTCATCCACAGCCTGAGGAACAGGGAAGTGAAGGATGCTCTGGAAAGACCTGAGTTCTTGTTTCCTCCCGGATTCAGACTGGTAAAAAGATATAATCAACTAAACGCAAATAACTTGGATGTTCTTGAGATTGCATCTTTGTTCTGCAGCTATAGTGGTGAAAACAATGAGCATGTAAAGTGAAGAGCCATGAAAGCTCTGAAAATTCTCTTTCTGAGGTGCAGGGAGTAACTCAGGGGATGTCTGGAGGGATACACAGCTGCGCAGCAACATTTTGTTCGGTGCAAAAGCCATACCGAATTGCTGAAGTACACATTTCAGGGACCAGGTCCGTAAGGAAATGCAGAACGAGGCAACGGAAGAATATCCCCAGCCACACGCCACGGGCAGTGCCGGGACAGGCGAGGACATACCTGCTTGCTCTGCCCTCTGAGATGAGCTGGTGCGGGGATGTCACACGGAGACCGACATTGCAGTTTTGTTCTCATGATCTCTAAACTTGTGATCCCGTCAGTGCTTGCTGGACAAGACCTTAAGCAAGTATTCTGGGCAAAAAGGGCCAACAAGGGATACAGTGTCACAGAGAGCCAAGAAGATAAATCTTCAAAGGTATTCGTTTTTCTTTTCTTTGTCTCCTCAACTCTCTGCCCATCCCTTGTGTTACCTGATAGCAAACATTAGAATCAACAAATGAGGCCAGATGAGAAAATCATGAAGCCCACTACAGCACCTCTGAGAAGCAGCCAGCGCCAGGGACACCTGGAGAAGGTCTTCACAAACCTGGTTGGAGCACGGGGAAAGTTGCAAGGAAGCAGCAGGACACAGCTCATGTTCTGGTCTCCCTATGGAACAGTCTATCATTGTCATTGGCTATGAAAGAGCTTAAATAATTAGTTTTTAGACTGACAATATCAGGTGAGATGAATTCCGACCTCTGTAGATGCAAGTGTGCCTGCACTCAGGTATGCAAACACATGCACACACTGAATTACTGCTGCTTTCAGTTATGTGCCTAAAAATAGAGGTCTTCTCAGACACACACATTTGTAATTATGACTTTTAGGGCGTACATCCAACCATTCAATGTTTGCTCATGCAAAACAGAAAACTTAATGAGACAGTGCTTTTACTGGAGTGACTCATGAAAATGAATCTAATGAAACTGTGTTGGTTTGTACCAGATGGTGAATCTACATGCATTTGTCCTCAACGTGTATCTCCAGTTTCTCCATATGTACTTCAAATTAAGGAGTCTCAATGTACGAGTAATTTAATGCAACACTGAGGCTGAGATTCCACATTCACAAAAGCCATGGAATGCACAGTCAGCAAATACCTACAGAGATATATGTATACATACGTACATGCATATACTCACCCATAATTTCATATCCTGTTTCCTGTATATATTTTATTAAGAATTTAACGCATTATATGAAATATATAGAAAGTGCTTGTGTGCATACCCGTATGCATAGCACCACACACAGTGTCTGTATATACCCATGTTCATGGCACATGCAGCTTTCAAAGTGATGCAAAGTGATGCAAACGCCAAACCTTTATTTGACGTAAAATAGCACAACCAAGATCATAACAGTGCAGCCCTTCTCAATACAAAATTGAGTCTGCTTTTTTCTTTTGCGTGTGTGTGTGTGTGCGCGCATGTGTGCATGTATGTGTGGACCTGTGTTTTGGTATAGAAGGCAATGCCAGCAACATGGAAGTCCTTCTCTTAGCCGGTGTCCCCAGACCCTGCACTGCAAATACGAAATAGCCATCGTGACCTTTGTCTCCAGGTCAGTCCCTTTCTCCTGTCCATGGAAGAGAGGAACCACAGTTTGGTCACCAGCTTCATCCTCCTGGGGTTCACCACTGACCCAAAGCTTCTCTTGTTCCTGGTGTTCACTTTAGCCTACGTCACCACCCTTGTGAGCAACATCACCCTCATGATGGTGATATGCCGTAGCTCCCCATACCCCAATGTACTTCTTCATTGGGAACTTGTCCTTCCTGGATCTCTGGTATTCCTCTGTCTACACACCCAAGATCCTGCTGAACTGCATCTCCGAGGACAAGAACATCTCCTTCACTGGGTGTGCTACTCAGTTCTTCATCTCCAGTGGCTTGGCCTACACCAAGTGCTACCTGCTGGCAGCGATGGCCTACAACCAGTACATGGCTGTCTCCAACCCACCGCTCTATGCTGCTGCCATGTCCAAGAAGATGTGCATGGGGCTGGTGGCTGCCTCCTACCTCCACCCTCATTACCAGCCGTATGTTCACCCTCAGCTTTTGCAACTCCAATGTCATCGATGACTTCTTCTGTGACCCGCCCCCACTAGAGAAGCTGTCCTGCAATGTGACAGACAGCTACCAGGAACTCCTGTATTTCTTCCTGACCTCCAATGTCATCCTCCCCTCTGCACTCATCCTCATGTCCCACGCCTCCATCCTGGCTGACGTCCTGAAGATGCGCTCAGTCGAGGGGCAGCGCAAAGCCTTCTCCACCTGTGCCACCCACCTCACCGCTGTCACTCTCTAGTACGGCTCCATCCTCTTCATTTACACCCAGCCCAGCTCCACCTACGTCTTGGGGAGGGACAAGATGGTCTCTGTGTTTTACACAGTGATGATCCCCATGCTGAATCCCTTCATCTGCAGCCTGAGGAACCAGGAGGTGAGGAAGGCACTGAAGAGACTGGTAAAGAGACAGACAGCTCCTTAACAGAAGGAGACCAGGGATTGCATCCCCAAAGAAGCATACAGCAAGAAGTGTACCTATTGTTTCTGTGTGTTTGCGTTTTCATTTGTTGCTTTTCACAATAGGTGCAGAAGGATGGAACGCAGGAGCATAAGCTCTTCTGATCCTGAAGTGCTTCCTGATGGATGGGAGATGTCACTGTGCAGACAGACCTTCTCTCCTTCCCACCTCTCCCCATATATAATTTATATCTGCTATAAAATAGGACCTTAGCAGGGGCTGGCATCTTTGTTGTTCATCATCATCTTCACCCTGTGCTTCGGTTGGATTAAATATTCCTTACTTATGTCCAAGCTCAGGTGGAGCTCAATGTCTCATGAAGTAACCTGCCTCTGCTCCTGAGCTGTCCCAGTTATTTCTTCACGATGCTGTATTGCACCACATAAACATACTTTTCATAGTCCTAGACTATTTTCGTGGTGAAACATTCACACCAGTGTGGATAGGGTGAATCAGATTGGAAGAACCACTGTCAAGAAGCACAGAGGCATCTGGGATTGAGTTCAGTTGCCTGAACATAGACTATTAACACCCTGGAGATGCCCCCAGCTCTCCCTCTGAGCTTTCAGATGTCACTCCAGAATGACCCAACTCTTCTGAAGGTTGCATAGCATATGTGCCAAGTGCATGCCAATGTCCTTGGCACCTCAGGACAGAGCAAATGGCACCAGGTTTCCACATGAGGGCAACCAAACCTGGACCTGGCCTGGGGAATTTCACTGCATCTTCCTCCTTTCCTGCAACTTAAGCAAAAGTTGCCAGCACCACTTGTAGGAAAACATGCAAAAAAGGTGAAGCGGTTTCTTAGTTATTAAAGTACCTTTTTTCCTTTATAAAGTTTTAGTCCAACTGTTGGGAGGAGGGATTAGGTGGGCCAAAGTAGATTCATCTCTTAAAAATTTAGGTAAATAAAAGTTGAGTGATTAAGTCAGAGTTGTCTCCATTTGTGATCAATAAAGTTATGTTTCTATTTTTCCAGTTTTTATTCAGACAAAGAGTGCAGTTTAAAGAGTTTGAGTTTGAAGATCTCCCAGCTCCCCTCGCTGTGTTTTCATTCACATCGCAGGCTGGGGTCAGGATGCATGAGCTGGGTTCCTTTTGGATGAAAGCAAATTGAAAATGGGCTTGATGGGGACACCTAATGCACTTCCACCTCCAGTATGTGTTCAAATCCCTGGACCAGAATAAATTTAGCCAGAAGAAACTATTCTGAAATGCATATACCACAGACAGCAGGTCAGTCCTTTTGATGTTCAGATCTGCTCCTGTTGCACCACATCTATCTTAACCATCTGTCCTTGGATGTAATAAAACTTTCTCTTATTCCTACATATTTTAGAGGGGACCTGGCTGATTATCTCATAATTAGACAATGAATTTTTAGATGTTGAGAGGCAGGTGAGACCATTCCTGTGCTTATTCTCCAGTCCCAAATTTGTAATGATAGGAAAATCCCATTTATGAAAATCAGTCCGACATGGAGGATGTGTGTAGTGTACTTCAACTTGCCTCGCAGTTTAAGAATTAAAAAAGACAAAAGCAAATGTACCCCAAGGCAATTAATGACAAGAAATTCAAGGGGTGAGGGTGTCTTTGAGGAGGCCCAAAGGTGAGGAGAAATGCAGCGAGCTTCCCCAGCTCCCTCTGTTAGGGGGTCAAAAGCAGGCAGGGACAAATCATCCCATTAGCAAGAACCAAGGGAACCACGTTGTCAGCACACATCATGAAGACAAGGATGTCTCTTTCTTTAATGAGAGTGTATGACCAAGCTTGTATGGGCACAGAAAGCCCTCCAGCAGGCCTGTGCTCCAGGCGCTCGCCGTACAGGTGGTTACAGCTATTTCCATCGCAAGTGATGCTGCTCCCCTTCCCAGAGCAAGGAGTGGTCCTTGGGGACCAACCACCTTTCCAGGAGTCATCAGCTTAACAAGACCTTCTGGGTTTTACCAAGAAAATTTCCTAATGATCATGAAAGCTTCTCAGGGGTCTTGTAGTCAACTTGCCACATTCTTCTTAACAAGCCATGAGAGACTAATTAGCTGGGGCTAACAAAAAAGAAACTTTCTTCCTTGTTGACGACAAAGTGCACTTCTACAGCTGCCTTGCTTGTCAGAGCTAGTCCAGGCCCTGAAGCCAATGAGTTGGAGGGTCAATATGTTGGCATGTGACTGTATTAAGGACAATTGTGGGGGCCTGGGTGGATGGAGAGCAATGCACCCTCAAGGTTTCTCCGATCAAAGTACCTGCCCCTCATCCTAAGGTTAAATTCCCACCTGCAGACTGAGGCCCTTCTTCCTTGGTGGGATGATGCAGTGACCCAGCAGCACCCTGAGCTCCTTGCTGAGGAGGTATGGTGGTGTGCTTAGTGGGAGCTCTGGTTGTGGTGGGAGCTTCTTCCATGCCAGTCTCGGGTCTGCTCAGGATCACTTCTAAATGTTTCTACACTGTATTTGTTCCTGGTCAGCACTCTTTTCTCTCCTATTGGTCTATGGGATCAGCTACGCTATAGTTGCTAATGTTTATTAACTGTTCCCCTATATCTCATTATTTGTTTTAGAGGGGAAATTGCACGATTGCTCAAAACTAAGCAAAAGCACTTAATAATAACATAACCAAATAAAGATAAAAATGCCAGGATAGGGAGCAGGTACCTGGCTAGTGGGTAATTTTATCATTACTCATAGGAGATGCCAGATGACAGCTCTCCAGTCTTTGTACAAGTTGCAGGTACTGCAGAAGTTTCTCAAATAAATTTGAAAATACAGCTACAGCTGAGCTAAAATAAGCTGCAGAAAAGCCCTGACAAGCCTTGTTGCAGTGAACTGTTGTTACGAAGCCAGTCTATTGCTAGTACTGGGACCACTAAATTACCTGAGTTTTGAGTTCACCAGAAACGTGCCCGTTATTTGATATGAAGAGAGCTCTGGTCATCACTGTCACACTGAAAGCAATAGGTGTTATTTGTTGTTGCTCAAGACAACAGCGGCAATGCATTCTCAAACTACAAAGGGTCAGAAGGGCTTAAATTCTTGAAATTAAAATAATATCAGGCTGCAAACACAAAAAAAAAAAGTAGCTAACGCATCCCTGAGACAGGTCAGTGAATGGCCTAATCCAAAAGGAGTTAATGACCTGGTATTTAGGAACAAGGCAGAGGTTTCCAGGTTTCCCAATATGTTTGTCCCCAGTAGCTCGCAGGAGAGCACTGCTTCTTTTATACCACAGCAGTACAGAAACAGAAAGTATAAATGTTTCTGAGAAGACCTCTCAATTCCTCTGACAGACCAGGCAAAACTCCTTTTTAGACGAACCTCTCCAGCACTCTCCCCAGAGCATTCTTCACCTCCTTGTTCCTCAGGCTGTAGATGAGGGGGTTCAGCATGGGGGTCACCACAGTGTAAAACACAGAGGCCACTTTGTCGAGATCCTGGGAGTGCCGGGAGCTGGGTCGTGAGTACATGGACGCAGCAGATCCGTAGAAGAGGGTCACGGTGGTCAGGTGCGATGCACACGTGGAGAAGGCTTTGTGTTTGCCTGTGGCCGAGCGCATCCTCAGGATGGTGGCCAGGATGTAAGCGTAGGAGATGAGGATGGTCAGGTTGGTGACAAATAGGTTGAAGCCAACCACAAGGAACATCACAATCTCATTGATGGTGGGGTCCGTGCAGGAGATGGCGTAAAGCGGGGGCCCCTCACAGTAAAAGTGGTTGATGATGTTGGGACCACAGAAGGACAGCCGAAGTGCAAACCCTGTGTGGATAGTGGCATTCACGATCCCAGTGAGGTACGAGCCACCTACCAGCAGCACACAAACTCTGCTGGACATGGAGGTGGCATAGAGCAGTGGGCTGCAGATGGCCACGTAGCGGTCATACGCCATCGCAGCCAGGAGGTAGCACTCGGTGGTGGCAAAGACCGCATAGAAATAAAATTGTGTGAGGCACGCAGAGTAAGAAATGACCTTTCTTTCTGCTAGGAGATCCGAGAGCAGTCTGGGGGTGATTGAGGAGGAGTAGCAGATGTCTAGGAAGGACAGACTGCTCAGGAAGAAGTACATGGGGGTGTGAAGCTGGGCATCCAGCCTGATTAACACAAGCATCCCCAGATTCCCCAGCAGAGTGATCAGGTAGATCACCAAGAAGACCATGAAGAGGACAGCCTGGGCAGCCCCCTGCTCTGAGAACCCTGAGAGAACAAATTCAGCACTGGGGCTGCAATTTCCTTTGGCCATCATCGTAACACAGTTGCTGTAGGAAAGCAGAGATGCAGAGAAACACAGAGTCAGCATATTCCTGTTCTCCTCACAAACAAATGTTAAAGATGCATTTATTTTTATCAGGAAATACAAATTTCAGAGGCAGGAACTGTTGAACAACATACTCGGTGTTTGTCTCAAAATATATTTTAAAGTAAACAAAGTGCATGATTGAATTTATTTCTACTAATTTGGTTTGATAAAGTCACTTTGCAAATCAGAAGGCTTATTCTACCTCCTGAAGAAGTTAAGAAGTTTGTCACTCGTCAGGTCCAAAGAGGTAACCACGGCAATTTATTCTGATCTTAGAAATCAGTTTGCATTTTAAAAAAACAAACAAACAAACAACAAAAACCCTAACCCTTGTTTCAGAAGGTCAAAAAAGAGAAAGCACTGGTGAGAGATCAAGGGGTTTTTTAAAATAATTTCCTTTAGGAGAGTCAGAACAAGTTATAATAAAACTCTAATTTCTTCCCTTCCTTCCTATGGAACTCTGAAATTAAGTTTGAAACAGGAAATATAGTGTAAGTATTAACGCCTCTTTAAATATGGTGATATCCATATCACTCCAGCAATGCCACTGAATTGAGAAAGACAGTGGAAAGAATTTTAAGAGGTTGGTACTGGTGGAAACCCCAACAATGCAACAGTGCTGTTATGAAAGGGGGGAGTAAAATACTGATAATGTAGAGTTTTGTTTGGTTTTGTTTTGTTTTTAAAAAGAGATAAAATTAAGCTTATGTCTTCTTAAAACAGAAGTAAGAAGTACTTCTTACTTCACAGAAATTGCTCACTGAGGGTTTTTGAACTGTTAAACAAGACACCAAATTATACCATTGGAAAGGACCCTTCTGCATGGGGAAAGTTCAACACACGTGTCCTACCTTGACTTATACATGAGGGTCCCTTAAATCTGCATTTAGTCAAACAAATTTTGATATTTCGTTCCAGCATTAAGTCAGTAGCAGAAACTTTCGCACCCCTCTCAAACAATTTGAAGTTCAACAAATAACCCAGGTAGAGCTTCCTATGCCGTGATCTTCATAGCACAGCAAATAGTCGGCCGTGCACTGCCGGTCCTCCTATCTGCGTCGCGTAAAAGGTCTGAGACAAAGCAGAACTGGAGGACGGCAAGGGTTTTTTGCCAGCATGATAACATGCCTCAGACCACCGGTGTTTTGCAGAGCCACTTCATCAGCTCATCCAAGCTGCCGCCCTCTCCAGCCACTGGACAATAATTATGAATCCCAGTAATCTTGACTAAAATAATCAGCTGAGATGAGGGTTGCTGACCTCTGGCAGTGCCTATGTATCTCGGTTGGCTTTACTCATAGCCTGAGCTAGTGGCTGCCTTAAATTTGGAAAAGCAACTTATCAACACCTGGGTTTCACGTGAGTTATCCGGACCTTGGGTGACCATTTTGTGTGAAAACAGGCTCCTGCCTAAAGTTTTCCCCTTGCAACAGATCAACCCTTTGTAGCATTATTTAAGCTAAAACTCACCTGTCTGCTCACATCTCAGGGCCCTTTCTGGTTTATCAGCGGCTTGTTATCTCCTAGACCAAAATTTTATAGAATGGGAGAAATAAGCCCCAATTTCTCCCAGTGTTGCTGTTAAAAGCAAGAATGATTTGCCAATCACAAAGGGCATCAATACTTGACCAAGAAAAGCCGCTGTTTATAGGACTCTCTCATTAAAAGACCAAAGGTTTTGCCGCTGCCCTCCTGGGTGTGTCACGCAGGGAATTTCTCTTGGGAATTGATGACTTTGGAAACAGTTCCTTAAGGAGGAGACATGCACTGATAAATAAACACAATTAGTTTCAGCAAGTTAAATGTAAGCTTGAGGGTGTTTTCCCACTTATATTATGTATATAAAGAATTTATATATATATATAAACAATTATCTCTTGGAATATATAATTTATCTCTTGGAATCACAGAGAACTAAAAAGAACTGGTGTAAGAAATAGAGATTCAAGGATTAGGCAATAGCTCAGGATTTGGAGAAGTGTTGCAAATGCTATTGCTGATGAAGGGAAAACTATTCAGGATCTCTTCTGCTGTAATTTGTTTTAACATTATCTGGGATATCCTGTTGTTTAAAAGCCCAGAGAGTTGTATCCAACCATCTGTGACAGTCACAGCCAGGTTTATGGAGGAAAGGTTTCTCTTTTATTGCTCTTGAAAGAGCAAAACAGTACTGCTATCTGTAATCAGATCTAGGGAATTATTTCCTATCCATCCATGGGAAATATAAACCTTTCTTCAGGAAGTTAATATCTGGTATCAGTGACCTTTATGTCAAAGCAAAAGCATAGCTCTGACACTATCTTGTGTCACTATCTTGTGACACTATCTTGAGGATCAGGCCCAG